AAAAAAAAAAAACAAAACAAAAAAAAAAAAACTGTCACACCTCACACTGGCTGTGCCATGAATATCAATGGTTGCTCTCCTTTTGGACTCACTCTACAAAACAGGCAGAGAAAGATATTCATGCATGAATACATTCCACCTGGCCCACTCCATATATCCACTCTAATGGGATAATGAACACAAAATATAAAAGAGTAGTGAATGACAGACACCAAGCTGTTATGCACATTGCATGACTGATGTCAATGATTTTTACTCCATCAAATGATTATATTTTACTGCCTTTTTTCAGCCCGTGTGTCTGTGACAGCCCGACAGTCATTTTGACAGCAACATGAATAATTTTGGTATTAAAACCAGAAATAGTGTTCACTCTAAAATACCAGTTTTACAGAGTGAAATACTCAAATTCCTATCCCTTTTTTCCTGGATGCTGGGAGTGAGTTCGCTCATATATTTATCTAGTGAGTTTGTAATGATTCCCAGGACGATAAAATGTCTCTGCAAAATAATAATACAATGTCTTTAGTTTTATAAATATATATATAAATATTTATATTTATATATTTATTTCCCCCTTTGCTCAAACACCGTTGCCAACTTCCCTCTGGTGTGAAGGGAGTGCAGTCATCAGAGGTGTCCTGTGCAGCCATCCAGGTGCTTGGCACAGACAAGAAGAAGAACCCTGTCAACCTTTCTGATACGCTTGCCTGTGTTCAAACAAAGAGGACGCTTACACACAGGCATAATTGAAGAGATCATGTAGGACGTGCATCTCCTCCTGCTAGACACTTTCCAAGTCTTCACATCTGTGTAGGGAGATTTTCCCACAGAGAACTGACAAAAACAAGGAGACTAAAAAATCACAAAGCCAATAGACTGCACTGAAGTTAAATTAGCTCCTTCTTTGAGGGAGAGAATGGCCCTAACGTTATTGACAAGGGAGTCCTGTCGAGTTTTTGATCCCTATTCAGAGAAAAAGAAAAAAAATGCCGGATTTTTCGGATAGCGTACAAAGAACTGATTAAAAAGAAAAGTATTTTTTTATATCAATGCCAGGGATGCGCCAGATGCTACTATCAGTTACTCTGGTGATACTACTATCCCCTTAGATTGCTTAGGCTGACAGGCATCACAAGAAAACACAAATTGACACACACACACACTGGAAAGAGAAAGAGAGAGAGAGATTGAGGTTTTGGGAGTCGCACAGGGGGAGTAGGAAAAAACACACAATCCATCATTACTATCAAGTGACCAAACAGGTTATGAGGAACACTTGCAAATTCCTACTGTGGTTTAGTCTCCACAGTATACATGTCTATCAAACTGCCTCCGGTGCTGTGTATATTTTTACAATAATGCAGAGTAACTCACCAAGAAGCTGCGTGTCAAATTTTCATTAGCATTCAAGGAAAGAAAACGGTCGACGTCAATTACTGACTCACTGGAGATGACACAACTGTGGGCTTTTATTTTTTTATTTTTTTATGGAATAAAGATTACACACTGACAGATGGACAAAAAAAGGTCGATACCTAAAGGTAGTAGTTGACAGTAGTGTACTAATTTACTGATAAAGCTAATAAACCAACTACCTTGAAGTCTTGAAGTCTTGAAGTCTTGAAGTCTACCTGTTGGTTGTTTTTCAAAATAATTTTAGTAATAACATTACGTCTCCTTGACTTTCTGCCATTGTACTTCAAAAACAAATGTACCCCAATAAGCCTCATTCCACAATGGAACTGCAGATCAGGCTCAGACATAATTCAGCTCCTCTGGAGTAGTTCTGTAAGTGTAGGTGTCAGAGATGAAGTATATATTTGCATAAATGGTAGATCAGCTTTTACTTCATGGTAACTTATAGCGTGTATCTTTTTCTGGTCTGATCTATAACAAGGTTCCACATGCAATCAATATTTAGTGCACAACATTGTCCAGTCAAACACAATTATTGACATAAGAAAGGCAGACTGCCCCTGCTATGACGCTATATTCCCATCGGCACTAATTAGGTTTGTATGCGTACTGCTTAAGTAATATCACAGCTCTGTGTTATGAATTTTAATTCTTGATTTCCTTGTTAAGAAAAAAAGAAGAATGTCACTGACTGACACAAGCAAAAGAATTTGTGAAAGTAGATGCTCCCACAGTAAATCACGCTTTGGTAATGGTTGGTTCAGGACCATGGACAGTGACAAACAGCAGCTGCGGAACAGGAGGCTGCAGCTCACATCAAATTAAACTCCAGTGTTTCATTATTTCAATCTTATTGTGTTGTTTTAATTAAGCAACTTTAAAGTAGAATATATTAAATATAGCAACACAAAAAAGTTGGCAATAAACAAAATTCTGGCAATCTTCATAATTACGCCTTTGATTGGAACACCTGACAGAGCCTACCATTCTGTTACAGAAAAATATTTTAACATTGTGCACAGTGAATGGCTTCATAAGGGTGTTTGCAGCTTAAAGGTGAGCATTTATGCAACCTTCTGAAATGTGGTACATGTAAAGTAAAGGTTGCTCTAAGGTATGGTGTTGGATGTCATCCAACAGCAGCTGTAAATCCCGCTGACATCTTTGTTATAGTGTCTCCAATAAAAGTTAAACTAGAAACCTTCGAAATCCTAACAGAGAGTTTGTCCTAAGAACAGCTTTGGTTTTGGACTCCACTCATTAAAATGTGGCCATCGATATTTGCAGTGAACGCAGTGAAGCATTTTTAAAAAGTGTGAGAGGATACAAGGACACCATCTAAAGGTCAGAGGGGGGCGGGGGGGTTGTGAATAGTTTGAAAGGTGAGGAAAAAACTTGAATCCTCTGCTGTGACCTACACAGTCACTACATCTCCTTTCACATCTTTGGAATAATTGTGACCAACTGTATGACAGTCCTTTCTTTGACCATCAATCATTAAAAAAGGGAATATGCCTTTAAAGACTGGTGAATCATCTCTTCAACAAAGTCCAGACTTGGAGAATCAATACAGAGGCACATTACAGCTGCTCTGTCGTCTCAAAAGGCTGAAACTTTTTTCTGCTAATACCCTTTAAGTGAACATATAATACAAACTTTTGGAAAAAAATCATTTCTAAAGAATTTATTTTTTAATTTTGATTTTAGTTTATGAGTTTGTCCTTTCTGGTATTTATAATACAAAGAGCTTTAGTCATAAAAAATATACCGTACATTCGAGCCTTTCAGCACAGCCCAGGCAGTCAGTCCTTCAGAGTTCTGTACCCTTCCAGTTAATCACATTCACACAGCATACCAGGTGTAAACCAAACCCTGCTACATGGTAGGAATAAAAACTACCACTTCTCCTTTGTGACTCCTAACAGAACTGGACTGAAATCCACTGCTGCAGAAAATATTTTTACAAGACTTCACAGAGTCACTCCCTGGGAATTAAAGCCCTCGTGATCTTATTTTGAAACAACTCAGAGAGTTTGCTTTTTATGTTCTCTGTGTGACACAAATGTAATTACTTAAAGGCCAGGTACAGTATGTACAAGTTCTTTCTTACAGTTTATAAAGAAACAGCAGTGGTTGATTTCCTCCTCCCAGCAGGTCGTGGTGCATAAATGTAATTCTGTAATTAAATTAAAACTGATTTTTCCCTGGAGAACATGTTACACATTTAGATTAAATAACTAACAATTAAGCATGCACATAGTGACACACATGTTTGAGTAAGCAGTTAATCACACTGTACACTATACAATTGCATTCTTAATTATTAATTATTAAGATTTGATAAACAGGTTTGGTAAATAGCTCAGATAGTTCAACTAAACTATACAAGCTCCTAAGTTCTTAAGTAAGATTTAAAGACAGCTCCGCACCATTTGCAAAAAACAACAAAAACAAAAACAAAAACTAGTATTTTTTCACTTTCAAGAAGCTTCCTGCGTTTGACCTCAGGTTGACCTCTCAGTAAAAATAGCCCTGCATCACAGAAAACAGTAAAGACCAAGCAACCACTTTTCTGAATGTCTGCACTGCAAGAAATTCAGCAAAAATTTAAAAAAGATTTTAAAAACATTACCCACCACTCCCTGCATCGGGACTAGAATTACAATAGTAAGTAAAAACACAGAAGGTATATTCTTTCTTTGCTGAAAAATGTATAACCAATTTAAATATATATATATATGTATATATATATATATACATATATATATATATTACTAAACATTTCTTAAAATGCAATTTATCTCAACACAATATATTTTCCCCACCTAAATTCAGTTCATTCTACATCAGAAGTCTATGTCCAACTGCTGACTTAGCAGCACTTCCACTGTCCCAAACCTTTCACTCTACACAAATGTTTGCATTCTGACTTCGCCCTGTGGGGCTCCGTGCCATCCTGCACTCACGCACTCATTATGCATATCAGGTGGTGGGCGGGGCATCTGCCCAAGACTACGACGTGACGTCACGGCCAGAGTGGCGACTGAGTGGAGTAGAGGGGGTTGGATGGGGGGCGGGGGTCCTAAAAAAATCATAAAAACACACAGCGTAACATAAAGGAAGACAAAAATGAGGCTGGTTTTAAACACGGGGCTCAGGCAGTTGTAGGGTGAGGTGTGAGGAGAGAGGAGGATATTAGAGAGGAGGAGGGGGAGCAGTGTGAGCTGTGCAGTTAACTACAGATAGAGAGAGAGATAGGAGAGAGAGAGAGAGAGAGAGCAGCCCGCCGGCCCATTGAGGAAAGATGGCTACAGTCACTGCAAACGGAGTGCAGCAGGAGAATGGATTCAGCACCACGAACAGCGCCGGCAGGATGAACGGGCTCACCATCGGCCAGAACACCATTCCAATGAAGGACCACGACGCCATCAAGCTTTTCATCGGCCAGATTCCCAGAAACCTGGAGGAGAAGGACCTGAAGCCTCTGTTTGAGGAATTCGGAAAGATATACGAACTCACTGTACTGAAAGACAGGTTTACGGGAATGCATAAAGGTGGGTTCTTTATGGATCTTTACTTTTGTGTTCCGTCAGAAACGAGTAATGGGAGGGGAAGTGAGAAAGAGAGTGAGTGAAATAGAAAGGGAAAG